CAATCTAACAGTATGCTTAGTCAATAGTCTTCGTAAGATTTCTTCCAAACACAGCTTTTAGGTTCAAATAATGAGCTTGGTAAAAAGCGAACACACGATGATTCTGATGAAAACGTACAACATCGAAAAAGGCGTTTGAACGGTTCAACAATGGTATCTTTTTCAACATATGCAAGTAAAGAAAAAGAATGCGTGGCGCTTCAAGCGCAAATTGTCAAATATGAACAAGAATGGATGCGTAAGGATTGAATTTTTAGCTTCTATCGTGCATTTTTGATCTTATGGATTGGCTACTGACTATTCGGCTCTCTCTTGTTGAATTAGTTTAATTGAAATACAGAAAATCGTTTTTATTTGTTGCTGACCAGTAACGCGGATAAAAGAAATGTGGAGATGATAGCTATTTATTTATTTTTCCTAGCACGTCCCAAAGATCCCAAGGTTATTCAATACTTGATCGAGATAACGAATATCTTAAACCAAAACCAAAACAATGAAGAAGACCTTGGTGATGCTTTGGAAAATATCATGGAACATCTGGAAATCAATGAACATGATTTGCAATTATGTCATGGTCGTTCTGCAACTGTAACAGCTAGACATATTATGAAGCTTAAATATCCGAACCCTGATGATAGTTGTACAATAAGAAACATTGGCGAAGCAGTTGTAAAAGCAATTATCAGTGAGTAAATATGATTATTTATTATCAAATTGAAAAAATGCGATTGATTAGAGTATACACGGATTTCTATTGCAACTGATCAATGTTCTGATGCAGATATTCGTCATGCAATTGGAAACTATTTAGCAGTTCAACGATTCGAAAATAGAACACGTTTAGTGGGCCAAAACAATAATGTGATTTAAGAGAAAACGTCAACTACCAACAAATTGATAAGAAGCATTGATTCAAACCAGAGCATAGTTTTTTAGAGAAGACTTTTATTTTATTTATCGAATTTTTTCTTCTCATTTTTCTTTTATTCTTCATGTGAAATTTCTATTGATTATCATGAGTTTTTTTTGCATATAGACATTATTGATACTCACGAAATGATTTTTCTTTGTTTCGAGTAATTTTGTTGTTTTATTCAGGAAGATGTCATTCGATCTCTTGTTTCTTCTTCTCAACTATGTCGATATTTTAAGCAAAATCGTCTAGTTTGTTTCTTCTTAAAATGCTGTTGATATTATTTAGTTGAACTGTTTTTATTTGTCTTCAAAAATATAACTGAGGACTTTCTTCCTCGCCATCGATGATGAACAGGCTCATTTATTTCTCATTTTTCTCGTGAACTATAGATCAAACTGAGCATTGCTCAGTTTACGTTTCAACGGATATCAATGTCTAGCAGAAGATCAATGTTCAGATACAAGAAAAAACAGCAGCATAATTTGAGTATCGGTGAGGTTTCTCTTTCTCGCAAGGTCAAAGATATATTTTGAGTATATCAGCTTATGCTTTAGCTCGTCATCATGTTAGTGTAAATGAAAAGATTGTTTTGTCGACATCAGATACGCAAATGTTTGAATCGCATGATGGTATCGACGAGGATGATCAAATACTGAGATCGGAGGAAGAATTCGATAGTGGTGACGTTGATATGGACACTGAGGTGCCTTTGGATGCTCTCTACGAACTAGAACTAGAAGCAGAAACTGATGCTGATGAAATAGAAGAAGATGAAGCGAAATTTTCCTTTCTAAACGGTGAAAGAAGGTATGCTTGTGTGTTCTATCTCTGTCCGGTAGTTTCATCTGTTCAATATAAAGAAAGCGAGACTAAGCTGATATACAGGGTGTATCAAAATTATAGACCCCCCTGACACACGCATACGAAAATGTTTATTTTATTTCAGCAACAAGAGATATTGATCGACCAATGGTATATGGATGTAGCTCCATCTAAAGTCTATTTACCAGTCTAATATCCTCTTTAGGTATCCTTGGAAATTGAGAAGAAAACTGTCAAATTCTGAAAATTGACTGTCCCATAATTATAGACCCCCTATGGCAAGATTCATTTTCCAACTTTCCGGTTCGGTTTAGCCCCGGGTTTTGGATATAGTATTGTGCTACAAATCATCCGCCACTTATCTCGAATACTTTGAGCTATTAACCAAAAAATTTTTAGGTCAAATTCTAACAATACGAAGTATGTAACGGACGTCTCTCATGCATTAGTGAGATCTCATCGGTCGATACTTTTTTCGACACTTTTCTCTGCTCAGAACTACTTTAATGTGCGTAGCTTATCAAGCCAATGTGATTTTAATTTAAACTAAGTCGATCAAAGTGCAGTTTGACGAAGTCCAACGCGATAACTATGATCAGAACCCCTTATCCTATGGGTAGTCCATAGGAAATCTCCCAATTCTATGATTACTTGAATGGTCAACTCAAATCCGATAGCATAGTCGGAAAGAGCACATCAAATTGCCCAAGACGACCGATAGAAATATCACCACAAATTGCGTATACGAAACGAAAGCCAACGACTTCGAATATTAGCAATCTATGCAAGCAAAAGGAAAATTACTACTGTAATGAGAGTTTATTATCCTAACCGATGAAGAAGGAGAATAGAAAGTTGGAAAAAGAATCTTGCCATAGAGAGTCTATAATTATAGGG